CCTTTTTCAGAGCAACATCCAACACCGCCAAAGTATGACTGTCCTCATATAAGGTACCATGACGACCTCAAGTCAAAGGACCAATTTCACTACCGAACGTTAGAGATTAACCACCGACACTCAGATAGTTATCCATGTGGAATCTCTCGACGGGTCTCCAATGTTTTGTTCTATAACAAACATCCACGTGTTCATTTAAGTGTCACCACACTTTAACTTGTGAGATCAGCTACTTACTTCACAAGTAAGAAATGCCACACGTGATGGTCTATCCGTAATAACGATATCCGTATCTCGTTATTACTTACGACCACGGATGATTTAAGATTCAATCAGATGTAATTTGTATCTCACAATCACAACTCCTTGTGATTAATAAATTACAAATATTTGAATCTACGGACTCTATTATTTATTTAATTGTCTATTAATTAAATAATAGATCTGCCATTTAATTGCATTAATTATATATAAAAGTATTTATGTCCAAAGTCGATTGGACCTAGGGCATAATACTTACAACGTATACAATTTTATAGATGAATGATGACGAGACTTTATCTAAATACCTTAGCATACATGTTTTGATTTCATTTTGAATTAGTTTACGTAAAAGTTCAAATTACCACAAAAGTGACATTTATTTATTTAAATTTAATTCAACGTAGATAACCCTGCATTATCATTTTACATTTTTCTAATATTTTTCACTTTCATTGGAAAGGAAAGAAACTGAGGAATAGAAGGTCATGTGGGGCCAGAGCTGAAGGCCGCAAAGAGTGCTTACAAAAACCGTTCAACACTTTCAACTCAAATCCCCACTTCTCTGTTGCCACTCCTCTCTCACAGACACATATCACAAACACTTTCCATCTTTTGCTTCCTAAACCTTCTGCTCTGCCTCTTCCGCCATGGCTAGACCGCAGCAACGATACCGGGGCGTCCGCCAACGCCACTGGGGATCGTGGGTGTCCGAAATTCGCCATCCGTTATTGTAAATTCTCTCTTCCCAAATTATGCTTTCAATCTACATATAGTTGTCTAAATCAGTGCATTGATGTTGTAAACATTTCTTTTTAGCTTATGCTAGTGAAAATCGTGACTGAAACGATATTTCAAGGATCGAGTACTAGTATATTCTGTGTTAGGTCACCTTTGTTCCCTATGTTACGTTATATAAAGAGATCTAAGGGTCGTTTTTCACGGAGAGGTATGAGGAACAATATACTGAAAAATTTGTAACGACAAGTGGACATACGTTAATATTGAGACGGTTCCATTAAGGTTATCCCTAACATTTGTTTGTTTATAGGAAGACTAGAATATGGCTGGGGACATTCGAGACAGCAGAGGATGCAGCAAGAGCATATGACGAGGCTGCAAGGATCATGTGCGGGCCTAGAGCACGAACAAACTTTCCGTACAACCCCAACGAGCCTCAGACATCATCGGCCAAGGTTCTTTCGTCTACATTAATGGCAAAACTACAAAAATGTCACATGGCATCACTCAAAATGGCCAAGAAACAACCTATAAAGCAGAAAAATGCGGCAGAACAATCTTCGTGTACTAAAAGGGAAGATTGTATTTATAAAGAGAATGTTCCGATGGGGAGTGGACAAGAATTGAAGGCACTTGAGGATGATCATATAGAGCAGATGATTGAGGAGTTGCTTTATTATGGCTCAATTGAGCTTTGTTCTGTTATGGAAAATTAAACAATTGAATTTAGTCTCATTTTCATTTGCTTTCGGTCGAACTTTTGTCCATGTTTCCCGTGCTATAATCATGTTTGGTATGTTGAACTGACCACTCGGAATATGATTTAAGAAGAAAAATAAGCTATAGTCCCGTGAAGATGCTTGCTAGCTGCAACATGTGTGAACAGGGAATTGAGAAAATTGGGCTGAATAATGGATGTTGATTTCTGGAGGAACATTCTCATAGTTTTCTTACTACCTTTTACAACATTTGATGACAGCTGAACAAATATCTACCCTTTTTGTCATGAATTTCCTAAAAAGTGATTATCTTTTGACTGGCATTTTGTTTTTAATGGGACAATCCAACATATGTTTTCATTACAATCAAAACCCATTCAGGGACAAAAGCTACGCCAAAATCGCAAAATTTAGAGCACGCATATGACGAAATTTCAACTGCCTATTAAAGACAATTTTGTCATGCCTCTCATTGGTTTAGATAAAATTAGATTTTTAATATATTTTGATAAAAGTTGGTGAAATATGTCTGAACCTATGAAATGTGTGATTAAAATTTAATTATTGAGGTTGACTTAATTTTAATCAGTATTTTAGATTGACCAAACAAGGACTAAAAACGTGAAAGAGAACATATATATATATATATATATATATATATGTAGAGAGAGAGAAAGAGAGAGTTTAAACAATACTAACTCAGCAGATCTATTTTTTCTCGCCAACATCAGCTTGATGGAGTACCAGTCAACTTCATTTTGAAGAACAATTTTTCTAAATAATGTCTATTTCTAATGTAGCACATTACACTGTCGTACTACTACGTTATACTAAGCCCCTGTTTGATCCCCATTACGTAGAAAATTTAATGGGGGGAATAGTGTTTTTCTGAAAAATGAGTGGTTGAGAAAGAATGAAAAGTTTTCGATTTATGTGTAATATTATTTTATGGAAGATTGTGTGGTTGAAAATAGGAGAGAGAAAAATGAAATGTAATAGAATTTAATGTAATGAGGCTCAAACAAGGGCTAAGCACGAACTAAAAATAATTTTATAAAATCGCTTCTATCCTGACAAGATGTAGAGTCAACCTGGGTTATGTTTTTCTCCAATTAAAAAATAAATAAAAATCTAACATTTCATTCCATGCTTGTGCATGTGCAACAATTTCATTATTTTGTGTGTGTAGTGGAACCATGTTAGTCATTTGTCTTTGATAGGATGTTATCCAAATGGGTAAGGGTAACGCATGTTGATTCAAGCATGATTGCATGCATGCACATGGAACGATCTTTTTGTTTCTTAAAATCATATTAAAAAAATCTGATGATAAGAGAGACAAGATTACGTGGTAAAATGTCTTCCTTTGGAAACAAGTTTTGATTTGCTTTAGAAAGTGATTTATATTTTGTTTATTGACAAAGGTCCGGTGATTGTAAGAAATTAAAATCCGATATGAATAAAGTTTATGTTTAATATATAGAGAAATGATCTAATGAGCACCGATGATGTGTCATATTAATTCATTGGTGGATAACAAATTCAATTCAAATGTTGAAACTCATAAAATTTATCCACCAACGAATTAATATGACATATCATCGGTACTTAGGATAAAATAATTATTGGTGCTCATTAGATCATTTTTCTATTTATATATAATTGTAATATCAATAAAATACACATTGAAAATGTTTGATTTCGTGAAAAATCCACTCATTGTAGGTAAGGTGGATTTTTATCTTTTTTTTTTTTTTTTTTTGTTGAAGCATGTTTCAATAGTGTAGTCCCGCGAGAGTCATGAACGAGCTTGATTCAATTAAAACTAGTTTTCTAATGTTGGAAAAAATGAGTAAATGGCTCATTTTTGGCAAGATTTTTGGTGGGATCCGTTGGTCCAATTTGGAAGATCAAAGTTGATTCATCTTCTCCTCCGTGAGAACATCAAAACCATATATTTACTTGTCAAAATTGATAAATGGATGAATGAAAAATTGAAGCTCAAAGATGACCATTGGAAGATGGTTTATGTGGGAAAAATTTGTTTGTCCCACATAGGAAAAATATGAAAGTAAGAACCACTTTAAATATGGCTGCACATTGGAAGGGTGTAATCATGTGTAGTATATATGCTTTCTCCATGTGCGCGCGATTAGGTGCAAATCACGAATCGAAATTGCCTTCGGACCTTGAACTTGTGTGCGGACGCAACCCGTGTACATGAATGTCAGACCGAACGGAGCAAAAATTGTCCTGTTTGGAGTGTCCATGTTTTACAATTTTTTGCTTTCTCCAACTGACATTTGAGCTTCCTAAAACTGCCAAAACTCCCAGAAATTACAGCAACTCCAGTGTTTATTGCTATGGAATCAATAGGCAAATTTAAACTTATTTAAAATGTCATTTTTCCAGCAGTTCCAATACATACATAAACGCACACGAAAATATGAGAAAAACATTTTGCAATTTTTTTCTGTTTGCATCTCGATTTCTGTTAAACGTCGTCATTGTGGTGATATTGTTCAGATACTAGTCAGTTAGCCGAAGTAGTATCTGTGGTGCTCAGATTCTACGAATTTTACCGTTGTATCCTGAAAAACAGACGCTCGGATTAGACCTCAAACACTTACAGTGAGGGGGCGAATCTATTTTAAGGAAATTGTGTCTGCACAGGCATCAGGTTGAGAATTAATCCGTTATTTATTTATTTTGCGATTACACCTTTGCAATTTATTCTTGCAGATTTAATTATTTAGCGTTTATTCGTGTGATTCATATAATTTGCAATTTTATCATGTTATCGAACTATTTATATTTATTTTAAAAAACAAAAATCTGAAAAAAATTCTGTAATTTTGGTATGTATAAGAGCAAAATCGGTACAGTATATATCAAAAGGGTAAAGAAAATATGTACAAATACGGTTAAAAGTATATACAGTGGGCAACATATACGATAAACTGCCTGCAAATACAGTAAGCTGCATATACGATATATTGCATATATGGTATATTCAAAATCGGTATCTAAACTACGTATACGGTATGTGATAATCCAGTTTCATTAACACCACTATATTCCAACATCTAATCTAGACATGCATTAGGAATCTGACTCGATTGATTAATTCATTTTAATTCTCCAATTCTCGTTATTGATCAAAAACCAAGGAAAATTCGAATGGAAGCTAGACTAATCAACATGAAATTGTATAAAAACCCTGATTCTTATTGAAATTAATCTGCGTTGCCACATTTCTTGTTTACTGGAGACTTCAGTCTTTCCTGGACATCAACGACAATCAAAATGCCGAAAATATATCTACTTCGAAAAGTAACCGGCAACCTTCCATAAACGTTGAGTATGGTTAATTCCGTGCTCGACCTGTAAAACAGGCATCGTTAATGATGACTTCTATGTAAAACAATTAAACAAGTACTTCCAACCATGTTATTCAAGGTGTAATTGAAAATTTACGATAAGGGCGGAGTCAAGATATTAGTTCAGTGCGAGCAAACTTTTTTCAACGCCCAACGTCAAGGTTTTGGTCATGGATTTAATGAGATAAAAAAATAAAAAAATATTACGACAATACTAAAAACAACATAATTTAACCAATTCGCATTTCACAGGACAACACTATCATCAATTCACAGATTCACAATGCAGAAATGAACGTTGCTACATTACCAGTTACTGTCAAAGCCGCTTGAAGAGCTACCAAGACCTTGAAATCATAGGCAAAGTAAATGTTTGATTTAATACATCTGACTTAATCTATTTTGAATCAAGCACCAGCGTCCTAGTTTACAGCATTTAATGTCCATTGCTGAAGAAGAAAAGTAGAACTATGCTTCTCACTTTTTACCATTTCAACAAATTAAAAGCTACCAGCATGGTATCATCATAATAACCAAACAATTATTCGACCATCAACCTCCCATTCGATAATGTCATTCGCATTTCACAGGGCAAAACTATCATCAATTCACAAATTCACAATTTCATTCACAAGGCAATATATACTATTTCAAAATTCCAGTGACAGAGACTAAGAGAGTAAGCAACTCACAGTATAGGCAGTGGCGGTGCCGCTTCGAGTTCGAGCAATTGAAGAGCTACTAATTTCATACGTTAAAAACAAAAACAAAAAAGAAAAAGAAAAAAAAAACAAATATTATTACAATTTACACAAATCAAAACAACAACAAAAAAATGCTTCAAAATGGATCGTGGGAATTGGGATGGAAATCAGAGCTTCACCTTTACCAATTACCAATCAGAGCCTGGCACCTCACGGTTGAACAAACAGGGACGCACGGCACGACACAGCAACACAGATGAATTACAGAGTCACGGAGTTTGAGACTTCAGAAAAAGAAGTGACCGGCGGCGGAGTGGAGGAAGGTCAGGCGGCACACGGTGAGTCGGTGACGGGAGCAGGAGAGAATTTGAACGAAAAATTGAATAATTGAATTGGGGAATGGGTTTAGCCGTTTAGAAATGGGTCATGGGTGTATGAGTTATTGGGCTAATGGGCTACTCACTACTGGGCTTTACAGTTAACAATAAAAAAAATATTTGGGCCTTTGGGGTTGGGCCCAAAAGTTCAGTGCCGGCATATCTTCATTGGGCTCCACCCCCTACTCATACTACCAGCCGACGTTTTGAAAATCGGACCAAATTGGTCTGTCCGATCGGAAAAATCGATAATATGATGACGAATATTCGGTTCGGTTATAGGGTAAAAATTGGATGAAAAGAAATCATCGAAAAATTCGGTAAACTATCAGATTCAAACAGAAATCGTGAACTGGATGTCGGTTTAACAGTTGATTTTTGTTTCAAAAAAAGAAAAAAAGAAGGTGAAGTAGATAACAAAGCTTCCATATCCATCATCGGAGTCCCACCGTCTTTATGATGAATTCACCTTCATACTCCATTTTATTCCAAATATCCAAAATCCAAACATTTATAATATATATATATATATATATATATATACACAAATGAAAGTAGCAAAGGAAAAAGGCACTATATATACACACACGCGCGCGCACACAAAAGAATTTGTATGCATGAGAAAAGAGCAGCTACCATTGAAAATATGGAAGAAGATGGCTCTTCACCAAATTGTACCAAACGATTAAAGGAAATGGGGCAACCATAGAATAAGATGAAAATGATAGGGCTTAGATTTTAGATATGTGCTCTCTATGCATTTGAAAGTAGTGGAAATTACACAATAGCCGGCATTTAAAGATTGCCTTTCAAAATTCAGGTACAAACTTTAATTAATCATAAATTAGGTATATTATAACTAATCAACCTCAACCAATTCATCCCAATTCTATTTTCAAACCTCTCTCTCTCTCTCCCCCCTCCCGATTCTAAATGCAATGTTCGCTAAAATCCTACACCGCAAGTGCACGGGTCGCGTTCAAATAATAAAGTGGACCTTTTGAGTCCAAGTATCGTCCCACAGATACTGTACTAGTTTAAATTTAAATTATCTACTCCTTAACCGTAATAATAGAAATTTTTGATATTTTCGCTAACTAAATTATAATTTAATAACCTACTTATAAATATAAAGTATAAATTAACTAAATTAAATGCGTGATTATAACTAAATGCAAATTTTATAAAAATATGATAACGAAATGCGTACTAGGATCCCGAATCCCCTTATATCAATCCCCTGTAATCCGAATTTTATAGAATTGACAACACGATTCAATTATGAAGACCAATATTCCTAATTTGTTTAACAATCTCTCGAGTAGAATTAAACCTATTTTCACATGCGATTCGATTATATTTATATGACGGATGCGAACATATAAAAATGCATTAAAGATTTATGAATACTTAAAGATCATGTAAAGCATAGAGGTATATTTCTATTCCCTATCGGACTTTACGACAATTAACATAATGTCTAACTTATTTTTCATCTCTCGAGAGTAAAACAAGCCACAAATCTCAAACAAATATTGCGCCTATAATTGTAAAGAAAATAAAATTCATGTCAATCATTCAATAATTAAAAACGTATTTTAACGTCAAAATAAATAAAATTCAATATTAAAGGTTCATAATATAAGGTTCATCGCAAATCCTAACACAAAATAATTTAGCCGATCATAATATTGAATTTAAACAAAGAAAGGGTAAAAAATATCACCAAAAATCGACGAAACGTGATTAATATACGTATTAAAATTTCAGCCCAATTATGTCTGCAAACTGCTGTCTTTTTGCCTGTGCATCTATGATATATTATCCTCTTCAGCACCCTTTTTAATTCAACAAAACAGCACACCAATTCATCAGCTCAATTCCAGCCGTTTTCTCGCCTTGATTCCGTGTTTCTGTTGTTGGCAGCATGTATTTAATATATATATCTTCTTACTCCAACAAAACAGCCAATTGTTTGTTCTTCCCGTGCGTGAGAAAATTCCAGCAAACAGCCACCAATTGTGTGTATATATATTTAATTCCAGCCACCTTTTCTCTTTCCTATGCGTGAGATGTTTCCGGCAGTTTGCAACCCAACAATTTATTCCCAGCAGCTGCTGCCAACTTTATCAATTCAGCCGTCTCTCCTCGGCCCCCTTTTTGTGGGTGTATATCTCCCCCTTTTTCTGTAGGTTTATGTTTGTATATATATATATATATATATTACAGTTTTCCCTTGTTCTGTATACAAATTAGGAGCCCAAGTCCAATAAGTTTTGTGTACTCAATTCTTTCGTGTAATGCAAGTTAGTCATTATCTTCATTTTCTCCTCAATTTTGATCCTCCATCTTTTCTTCCGCGAGATTTTGTCCACAAACTCAATGTAATAGCCAATTGATTATTTTCTTTTCCAATTGCTTCAAAACGGGTCCATAACTAAAAACAAAAGAAAATTAACACAAGTTAGGTAAAAATTAATAATTTGACAACATAAAAACCTAATTATGTAGTCCGAATAAGTGCATAAAATGCACTTATCAGCAAACAACACCACAACTTTGCTCGGCTGACCTTGTGGCTAGGTTGACTCTAGTCAGGTATGAGAACGGCAGCAACGCGATAGTGGTGAGTCTGGTGTGGTGGATCTAGGCAGGCGTGAGGTGTGGTGTGATATGGTGAGAATAACTGGTGGTAGCGGTGTGGAGGATGATGGTGGTGGCGACGATGGCGGTAGTACATTGATGCGGCTACGTGACGACAATGTCGCGACTTTTTGGAGTCGACGCTGTGCACGAGATTGATTCCAGTCGGGTGTATGAGAACGATAGAGAGCGATAGTGATGAGCTGGTGCGGTGAATCTAGGTAGCAGTGCGGTTTGGTGAGAACGATGGGCGGTAATGGTGCACAGGCGAATGGTGGTTTGTTGACCCAGCAACCTCATCACGCGCAGTGAACTATCAATGCCGCTGCCAGCACCGCGAAACAATTGCGATCTCTATCCATCGTTGCTTGACACGACACCAATCTCCACCACAGCGATGTTGCTCGACCTAGTTTCAATGTTAGTGTGGTCGGTGGTGTCAAAGTGACTCGATTTGACCAGTGGAAGACAGATAACAAGCAGTAGTTTTGGGATGATTTTTTTGGTGGTTTGGAGATGGTGGTGCTTGTTGTGGATTAAGGCTGTCGTGGTGAATTTGTTTGGAAATTGTGGTGGTGGTTCGGAAATGGTGCTGTTGTGGTGGCGACAACAATAACAAGGTGAAGGTGGCCATGATGGCAGTTGCGATGCGATAATGTTAGTGATGGTGGTACGTGACCACTATTTGACGTATGTGATCAATCATTTAGTTATCTGTGACCAATTGTTTAATTGTAACCTAAAAATTTGATAATCTATGACTAATTAATTTGATCTCGAAATAATTTGTGACTTATAAATTTTTGATTTGTGATTTCAAAATAAATTGTGACCTACAAAATTTCTGATTTGTAGCTTCAAAATAATATGTGACCTATAAAATTTCTGATTTGTGACCTCGAAATAGTCTGTGACTAATTAATTTGATGATATGTGACTTATAACTGTGTACCTGTGATCATTAATTCTATATCTGTGATTTTATTATATTTAATTAATCAAATATATACCTGAATTTTGAATTTTCAAACTATTTACCTAATTTTTGAATTGGTGTAAATAATACACTTGATATATGAATTTTTCCCTTGAAAGTATTTTTTGGTCTATTTATTTATAATTTAAATTGTATCATAAGTTGTATTGATTAACTAATAGATTTTAGAATTAAAATATTAATAGATAATTTTAATTATATTTTTAAACTTATATATATTAATTATTTTATTATTTTAATTTCCAGGGTGATTTCGGTTCAACCGTTTAACCCTTAACCCTTTAACTTCACTAGGTCAATGGCCGGCCAGTTTTTAAAATATTGCTACCAATAAGCCTTCTAGCCAATTTTCACTTTATAACCCCTTTACTTGGTAAAAATAAAACACAAAACTCCCAACTCGATAGAGACAATTGTGGAAGAAATTTTATACAGGTTTGCCTAGAGACCCTTTGACATCTTTATATAAAAAAACCACTTAAATTTAACTTTCATCCATCATAAAAATGGATGGTTTCCTACAATAACTTACCTTTGATAAATGATAAGTTCTTATGACAGACTAATATTAACAACCGTTTAATTAACTTGATCTTTGAATTGATATGTGACCATAAATGGTTACATCCGACCCATGAAACCCCCAAAGGAGTGTAAATGCACTAAATACGTATGTTCGGGACGAGGTTAGTAAAGCTACGCTCATTTATGATCCACTGATCGAATGAAAGAAACCCCAAATGAGTGTAGAATGCACTAAATACATATGAAACTAGGCAATATTATATATATAGTCAAATTCGCTCTACATTTATTAAGTTTTCATGTTTCATTTCACAATTTTTCATACACTTCTTACTTCTTTCAAAATAAAGGGAAATGACAATGCAAACAAGAGAAAAGTAGTGGAAAGAGTGAAATAGTGAGCCATAATTTTTTTTTTCTTACCGGAAAAATCAAAATAAAGATAAAATATTACACATGAAAAAATTAAAATCAAAATAAAATATATTGTGAATTTTTATTTATTATTTATTTATTTATTTTTGGAAGAACTTGTGATTAATAAGTAGCAAAAAATGAGAAATGCTACATTACCAAGGGAAAATTTGACAGGTTCTCACAAACAGGTGGGCTCCACTTTATTAAAAAATATCCAAAAAATCATGGAACCCACCTGTTTGTGAGTAACCTATAGCAACCTTGTGAAATTTTTCCCTGGCAGTCTGGCTTTTCTCAACAAGGCAGTGGTGCGAATTTGGCATTTTCTTTTGATGTACTGATGTAGCCATGCACTTAGTACTGTCAATTTATAAGCTATTTATAAATTTAGTCAAAGTTAAATATAATTTTATTTAGACATTATGGTTATTCGTAATTTATTATTCTACATTTCA